GAATTAATAACCTGGGCAGTTTCTTAGCTCTTTGTGTTGCTGAGCTCTGGCTGCCCACCAGCATGCTAGGACAGGCATGAAACTCTTGCCCCTGAGAAGGCAGAGGTTGCTGGAGAGCGGACAGCAAGAAAGGAAGCCAAGGGCTATCTAGTTCAGCACCAGAGAACCACAACCTCTTGATGTTACTCCACTGGATCCCAGGGCCTGTGCTAGGTTGGTCAAGCTGGAGGAACTGGTATTTCCAGCTGCTGCTATCAGCTGGAGATTGCTCTGCCAACTCAGAATTGCTTTCCTAAGGCTGGAGGGCAAAGAATCTGGGCATACCAAAATTCAGACGGTTTATGTGACACCCCTCAAGGAGAGGATATTACGAAGCTGATTAAATAAAAAAAAAAAACACCACAGTAAAAAATCCACAGCGCACCTCCAAAGTCTTCTTTAGGGTCATGATGTTTTCGCTACAGACTTCCACGTTGTTTAAGGTCACCTGGGAAAAAAAACAACAACAAAACAAACACAAGTAGAATTCATTGGAATTTCTCAGCACCTCAGCCTCCAGTCTGTAAGTTCACTCCGTTTAAGGGACAGAGGGGCTACCACGTCATCAAAGCATTGCAGATTCATCGAGCTGCATGAAGTGGAGCTACAGTAGCTGAGCATGTGTGCTGTGAACCTGCAGCTAGTACAGAATTTTACATTCTTTGCTCCACTTTTCCTCACCATTCGTCCATGACGCTGCAGTGAAACCCTGCTTGTAGGTGCCCAGTGGAAACCCTCAACTTTCTGTGACAATGTCATGAAGAACAACCGACTAGGAGTGGCTGGAGGTGATGGTTCATACGCTGTTTCTGGAGAAGCAGGGGAGGCAGGAGGAACTGGCACTCATGCCAGACAAGCGTCTGTTCTTCACCAAACAGACTGTTCTCTACCTGCTGAAGCTGAACTACATGTCAGGATAAGGCTGGAGTTCGTGCAGACAATGAGGCAAGCTGACAGGTGAATGAGGAACTCCACCAGGAGAACTGACGTTTTAAGCACTTTGCTGCTTAAAAAAAATACGCAGAAACCTGTAATCAGGAATTGAATGAAATGGCAGAGTTTAGACCGTCCTGCTCTGCCTTCTTTCCTTGTACAGTGAAAGTCCTCAGGAGCCTCTGCAGTGCTGGGTGTTCTCAGAAACTTAGAGGAGGGAAACAAGCCAGGGTGAGCCAGCCCTGCTCTGGCACTCTTGGAGCCTCTGCCCACAGGTCTGCTCGCACAGCAGGATTGGCTCAGAGGAGAGAGCAGATCCAGAGCTGCTCTCCCAGTGAGAGCCGAATGCAAGGTTGTCGTGGTCTGACCGCAGCTCACAACTAAGCACTATGCAGACAAGCCCGCTCAGATGGAAACTCTCCCATCCGCTAAGCGAGAACGAGAGACCCTGAGCCTCTCCTGCAGCCTTTGTGCAGAGCTTATGAAGAAGAGGACTGACGGGACGCCTCAGAAGAGCACAGATCCTTCCCCAGCCTGGAGGGAATCATCATCGCAGCAGCCTAAGAGGCAGTCACAGGATCACACCAGCACAGACTTGGTGTGGAAGCCCTACAAACACCAGGTGAGGTCACCTAGCATCTAGCAGGCATCCCAGGTCAGGCCACCCATCATGCTTGAACAGGTTTTCAAGTTCTCTGAACATGGGAGAGCCATGCCAATCTCTTTCCTGAGAGCTCCCCATTGCCTTTCCCCTCACTCCAACTCATTCTACACCCCAACAGCCACCAAACCCACCAGAAAGGACTGCTTGGCTTCATCGGTGCTTTCGATGCCTTTGGTATCGAACTTGCCCTGCTGCAGGCTGCTGTGCATGATGTTCACGGCACTGGTCACCCCTCTCTGGAAGTCCTGGAAGGTCGTGGCTGGAAAGCCCTGCTTCAGCTTGTTGTACAGAACCTCCCTATGGGGCAAGCAGAACATAGCAGGGCTTGAAGCAAATCCTGCAAGATACAGCAGAGTTGTGACAGGGGACAGCACTCTGGCTCAGCTGTGACCTGAACAAGGTAAGTGGAACTCCACAGAGACAAAAGAGGGCTGGCAAGTATCTCCTGACACCATTTAAAGGATGCCAGGCTGAAAGAAAAAAACCAAAACTTCTCAGTTTCTGAGCTTTCCCAACAATCCTGACTGCAGCTGTCTGTTGTCTTTGGTCCCAGTGCCCCACTCCCACGCTGGGATGAAAAACAGGACAATTTCTGCAGGCTCATCCTACGTTCAAGTTACTAAGCAATCTCCCAGGCAACGCCGAGAACAGTTAGGGGTGACCATATACCATCAAGCAAGGTAGCACACCAGTGCTATGTGGTGACTGCTGTGTGGTAACTTGGTTTCATTGGAATTTTGGGCCATGAGGTTCCTTCTTCTCTTTGTCCTACAGGTGACCATCACAGCTGTGAGAAAAGTAGGCTCAGCTTCCCACCCCACACCTAATGCTGCTTCCTGTGAGGCTCTTCCACGGAGATGACAAACCACATGTTCGAAGAACATGGGGAAGACCATCTGACAGCAAACACCGTTTGCAGAACATGACGGGGAGGCAAGTTACAATGAAACTGGTGTATTTTCACTACCTGAAGTCGGACTCCAGCTCGGTAGTGGAGTGGTTGATCATGGCACAGAGACAGTCTATGCTGGAGCTGGAAAGAGCACGCCCAATGCACTTCTTCACGATATAAAACACATCATCCACCATGCTGGAGGTGAGCTGGCCCTTCTCGTAGCTGTCCATGGCAACGGCCTGCAAAGAAAGCTCTTTCAGTGCCCTCGGCTCAGTGAGCGAAGGCGCCCTGTCACAGCGGTGCTGCTGCCAGCCTGCCCGTTTCACCCTGAGCTGGGCGGGCTGGCACCGCTCAGTTTTCAGGAGCCCACAGATCTGGAAGATCTGTCTCTGGAAGTTACTCATCGGGGATATGTTTGGAGTCAAAGTTCACAAACGACCACTTGCTTTTCGAGGTGAAGTGAAACCAAAAGACCTTCCTAACAACTGCAGACCTGCTGTGTGCTCATCTCCCTCCCCAGGGATGCTCAGCAGAGGACTGTGGAGCACACACAGAGGTCTCAGGCACTGGCAGAGAGCACAAGCACCAGTTGGAGCCCTACCTTGTTGACCGTCTCCCTCATGAAGTATTCCTCCATGGTGATGTAGTAGCCGATGAGCTCTTGCATGGTGCGGCTCAGCAGACAGTTGTTGAGGAGCTTGTCCAGGTATTTCTGATGCTCTGCAGAACACAAAAGAGAACCATCAGAGAGGACCAAGCGCCAGAAAGCGGTTCCACCCGATCCCTTTGCTGCCTGTCTCATGGGCACCCAGTGGATGCGAACCTGGAATAAATCACAGGCCTCAACTGTGGAGCTGAAATTGCTGAGATGGCTTTTTCACGTGACAAAGCCATTTCCAGAGCTCCACAGAGTAACCAAAATCCCTGAGCCTGTTTTCCCTGCGGCCTCCACCTTTTAGGATCTGTGTCTGCAGCAACCAAAAGGCTCTCCCTCTCTTTGGGGACCTTGTTTATTACGCTTTGCAGTTATTCCTAATGCATGTTTCCTGATTAGAGAGAACAACCAGTGCCAAAAAGAGGTTTGGGGAGGCCAAGCTACACAATCGTCTTCCGCAGAGTGCTCCCAAAGCATCTTTGCAGATCCTGGGTCACTCTGCTCTGCCACTAACTTGGATATATCTCCATTTCTGGCTGTGAGAGGCAGAGAGCCTGCAAGTATCGGTATTCAACATGTTACCTTGCTTTACCTCCTCTGAGGCCATGGAGTCTCCCACCTCAAAATCAGCTGTTATTCGTCTCTTGATGAACCTCAGGTAGAGCTCGCTGCGGGCGTTCATCAGAGTGACTTCTGTTAAAATGGGGTCCAGTTCCCTGGAAGGAACATAGCAAGAATCAAGGTAGCAAGACTACAAAAGGAGAGGCTTAACTCTCTTCTTTTACTATGAGATCAATACTGCCCTTTTCCCTCTGTGGTGCTGAGTGGGAAAGCTCAGCAGAATAACTGGTATGTGCAAAGGATGCACAGGTAATCGAAACATCCTGAAAGGACTCATTGCAGAGAAGCTTCTTTTTCCCTTGTGCATGTGAGAACCACCACATTAAAATCACAACAGTAAGGGCTGCAAGACTCTAAGCAACCTGCTGTAACTTCAGAATGAGCCCTGTTTTGAGTGAGAGGTTGGACCTTCAGCAGTTCCCTTCCTGCCTCAGTTTTGCCCTGATTCTGTGAGCCCTCCACGGCCGGTGTTAGAAATGCCTGGTCCTTGCCACCTCCATGTATGTGCTTTTGTGCACAGATTTGTGCGTGTCTCTGGAAACGATGAAGAATCTGTTTAAGCTCAACAGCTGGGGAAACGTGAGACCAAAAAAAGCAAATGACAATGCAGAACACAGTGTTCAGATCAGAGACGACTAGGAAACAACAGGACGGTCACGTCAGCAGCTTTTTCATCGGCGTGCACAAAAGAACTTCACAAATCCTGCTCAAAGCCTCACAACACACGAGTGGGGCAAGGAACCATTACCTTCATTTTACAGATGAAAAAGCAAAGCTCAGAAAACCTGGGATGCAAGCACTGTTACTCAGAGCAAATAGTAAGTAGATCTCTCTATTGCTGCTGACATAATTAGTCATGCAGGCTCGCAGACAGACCTCACTTGAGGAAGTTTTCTTTCGAGGCACATTTACAAGTCATGCAATGCCAGAAGGGCTGGATGCACTTTCAAATGGTCTTACTTAAGGGTTGGCAAATAGTGAAGATAAGAATAAAAGGAGGGAGATTGAGAGCACTTTGGTTCATTAGCGAGGAACCGATGTTACAGAGTAGCTGCAGCACCAGTACGGATGAAATAAGACCCAAAGATTTATTCCTGATTCTGTCACAAATTATCTGCCCAGGGAGCTGCTCCATTTTGGGGGCTCTAAGGACCACACTCTGACCATCAAAAGGTCACAGGCAATTAAAGTCTTGGTCCTTCCCTGTGGTGATATCTCCAGCCCTCCAGCAATGTTTAGGGCCAAGGCTTCAAAGTAACAAGTAAGCAAAATAAAGCACCAGCACAGAAGCTGCCTTTAAAAAAGGGTAGTGAAGGCCACTTAACACTTGGATTTTAGGCTTTAGTAGCCGCAAAGGCTCTGGAAGACCGGGAGAGTTATCTAAATGCTAAGTAGTGTTAATAACAGCTCAAGAGTGAAAGGTTAGAGAGCAGAAAGAGGGTTTGTTTGTACCTTGGTTCAATCTTCTCTGTGGAAGAACTTCTCATCATGCTATTCTGAACTTGCTGGAACTGCAATCAGAAAAAAAAGGAGGATTCATTGAAGTCTTAGCTGATGACTTGGGAGTTAACATCCGTTTCTTGTGCTGTAGCCTGAGGCGTTTACTTGGGAAGGTGACAGGAATGCTTAGCAGGAAGCACCGCCAAAGAAGAGAACCGTGTCGGTTCACCTCCTCCTCCACAACAGAGCTCAGCCAGCTTGGAAGGTTGGTGGGATGGGAACTGCAACAGAGCCACCAAGGTAGGTGACTAGGGGACGGCTGCACCTAACAGGGGCAGGAACAAGACAGGGAGGCTCCAAAAAGGCCCAAAAGACCTGCAGAGCAAAGAATCCTGTGCCCAGAATCCATTTACCACGCTCCCAAAGAATCCTTCGCTGCAACAGAAGGGATAGCTACAAGCTGGACCCTCTCAGCCATCAGCACAAATACGGAGCAGAGCAAGCTTTCTCACTACACAAGGTCAAACTCTGCCACCTTTGCAGCTAGTTGGCACTACACAAGGTCAAACTCCGCCACCTTTGCAGCTAGTTGGATCCCCACGGGGCTGGACGGAGGCCCCTCTTACCTGCCTGTGGTAGTCCCTCTCTTTGATGAACTTGTCCACCACTTTCTCCACCTGCCGGTCACACTCCACTTGCAGGTGTTTGATGAGGGTGTACAGCCTCCCCGGCCCATAGTAGGTCTCCACAATGGGCTGGTGGGTCTCCACAATGCGAGCGATCCCTGCAGGGAGAGGGGAAGCACAAGAGAGAGACTCGAGCAGGAGTTCTCATCCAGTCTGGAACCACAGCAGAGCCACACGGGTCCGGACAGGACCTAACGAGGGATCATTCGCTCCCCAGATAAACAGTTTAGGTTGCCCGACCGCTCTCTAGTGCCTCACTAAAGGCTTGTCATTACCACCCGTCGTATCTTCTCTCTGCACAAGACACCTCACATCCTCTCTCCTGCTTACTGCACGGCTGCAGTGCAAATCTGGAGTAGAAGCCATCTCCCTTCCTAAGAAAAGCTCCTGTCAGCTGCCATCCTACCCAGCAAGATACGAGGTATGAAGCTTCCACAGAAGAGAGCTGCATGAGTTTAACCTGGCAGGGGGCATCAGTGTCATCCAATCCCAGCTTTCAGCACCTGCCAGGTTTCAGAAGAGCTCGGGAAATCAGCCTAGGGAAAGCTCTGCTCTTCTGTGTCACACACAGGCCCAAGAAAGCAAGTGTTAGTGAAGGCAAGACCTCCTTGGAGAAAAACCTCATCTCCAAGGATGCATCTTTACAATGTTTCTTTCTTCTTTACTCCAAGAGTGGAGCAACACCCCCCCTTCTCTTGATGCTACTGCCAAGAAAGTCTCGGCGGCTCGAAGACCTCGGTAGCAGCAAGGGTGCCAGGCTGGGAGAGTGACTTGGCAGTGGTGCAGCCTGGAATTATAGCAGACTTAATAGAGAAGATGGTTAATCACCACGAGATCTCCATCACTGCCTTTGGCCACATTCCCACAGAGCATTCATAGTCCCTTCCCTTCCTTCCTGCTCTGCTTTCAAGCTCCCGTGGTCCTCCTTGAAGAGCCAGGGCCTGGAGGCATCAGCAGCTGCTCAGTCTTAAGGGATCTGATTTGATTGTCTGGAGAGCTGCATAGCTGAAGGAAACCTTCAGGGAATACCCTTTTTTTCCTTTTTTTTTGTTTTTTTTTTTTTTTGAGGATGCAAAGAACAGGAAGAGTCTGATTCCTGGAGGAAGTCAACAAATCCTCTGCAAATCCTCTCCGTGCTTGTGCAAGCTCTAAGTAGGGAAGGCTGCTCCTTGTAATGCCCTCTCCTGGTTGTGTCCCCGTCCCTCTAGCATGACACTCCCATAGCTCTGAGGGGAAGGAGGAGTTTTGTAATCTTCTGGAGCTCAAAGGAGAAGCATTTAAATTGACGGACAACCTCGTCACGCGCTATTTTCGATCCATCCGCAAAGAGGAAAGGAAGATTACCTTCGAAGAGGAGCGTCAGGGTGTCGGCAAAGATAACAGCAGCTCGGCGGTCGCTCATGTCTGTCCCCATCACCAGCTGTAGGTTCTCCTCTGCTTTGCTGGCCACCTGCGTGACAATAGGACGTGTCAGCCGGTAACACCTTCATCCCTCAGCACCATCCTCTGTCCCTTGCCCTGTAGAGCTTTTGCTGGCCTTCCCGTTGCAAGAGTTATTGCTGTTGTTCCCCCTTTGAATGGGCATCCTTTCCTCTCTTGTGGAAAACTCAAGGATCAAGGAGGGGCAGAAACTTGTTCTTTTCTTTCTGGGCTCCCTTGTATGACCTTTAAGCGATGGCAAAGAGCAAGACACCGAAGGAGAAGCCAGCTGGCCAACGGAATCTGAATTCAGACCCCAGAAAGCCCAGCCCAGGATGCAAAACGCAGGGAGAGACATGAACTAAGGCCAGTGCTGGTTTCTAAAATTAACTCTCCTTCCACAACACCTCTTGGCCAAGACTGAGTTTTGTTTTCCCCTAAAAGTCCAGACAGGTCACAGTATGTTTCACAGAACCTGTTACCTGCTTGCAGAGGTACTCGGAGAACCTGCTCAGCCCCTCTTCATGTAAGCCCAGCAGAGGAAAGATCTTGAAGAACCGTTCCACCTGTGGCAGGTCTCCCTGCTTCATAGCTGTGTTGAATTTCTCTGTGACAATCATCTTCAGGCGCTGCTCTGCTTCCTGCAAGAGCTTCAGGTTGGCATCAATTACGCCTCCTGATCAAAAAAGGACAGGAAAACAAAAGGGAAAAGCGACAGCGTAATGTTAGTACTTTATGGAGGGCTAGGTTTTTTTCCTAAGGAAAGAGACCAACACTGAGCAGCCTGTGGGTGAGAAGGCAGAAGACATCCTGGAACTCCCCTACAGGCAAGGCACATGCGTGCCGTACACACAGCTGATGCCATGGTCTTGCATGGAGGATGGGAACACATCAACCAGGACATTTCTTTTAGGGATCAGGCAATTTACTCCTTCATTTCCAGTGGTCTGCTTGGTAGCACACTGTAACACTGCAACAGTTCTCCCTGACAGAGCCTTCTCCATCACTTCTTTTGTCCCGAACGTTTTGTCCTTCACCTCGTTAGCACCTGAAATACCACTAAAGCTGCATGCCAGGAACTGTCCTTTCCATTACCAATAATTCAAACCTAATAGCATTTCAAAAACATTAATTTCCATGTCCCTAAGATATCTGTCTAGAATTAGATCTTCTGCTTTGTCTACTGGGCTGAGGCCATTACACAAGAAAATTACACAGCCTCTAGTTATCTACTGGCAAGGTGACTTATCAGCTTCTCCTCACACATGGTACTTACCTTCCTTGCCCTGACGACTGAGCTCAATCACCGATTTGTCCAGAGACAGATAGCGATGAATATGAGCTGCTGCTTGTTCATAATCCTCGTTTCGCAGAGCTGTTTGAACTCCATCCATGCAGAACTTCAGGTCGAGGATGTCGTCAGCTCTCTGAATGGCCTGATAGAGTCGATTCTGCAAGAAAGGCAACGAGTAAGGCTTCCTGCTGCAGGCTGGACCGAGGAAAGAGAATTACAAAGAGAAGATGGTGTACTCCAAGGGGGAAGGAAGAAAGGGACTGAAGCGATGCTTCTGTACACAATAAACTACACAAGCAGAAACCCCAAGCTACTTAAAAAATTCCTAAGGCAAATGGCTCTGAAAGAACGGCATTTGTCAAAACTCAGATTGAACTCGGAGGCCATGACAAATAGGTAGAGGCCAGAGATACAACCACACGTTTTGATTTGCCTGGTCGTGCTGTGCGCTGTGACTTGGTGCCTCTCAACTTAGCTCTGTACAAAGAATAGCACAGCCTGGACTCCTGACCAGCCTTGGGTGGCAATGGCCATCTCCGCTGTCCTCAGCGCTGTAATAATTGAGAAAATGAGTGCTAACGAAGATTAACCTCAGCTTATTCTGCCAGGAGCTGCATGGACAGAAGGGAATGCAGGAGAACCAGCCACTGTACCAGCACAGGAATTATTTACTTTTGTACCTTGCAACAACCAGGAGCCCGGCAAGCTTACCATCAGCAACGCTAGACACCGCTCAAATAAAAAACAGAGCGTTTTCCTGCCCACTAAAGGAAAGAGCCCGTTTCTCCATGGTGCTGTTAGCACACAAGCAGACAGAATATGGCTTGGCGGTGACCAAAGTCCCAAACGGCCCCTCAGCCCAGCTACCTTGGCAAGGTCGAGCTGGCGGACCTTGCTGCTGACGTTCTCGGCCAGGTTACAGGTGAAGGTGATCATCCCTGCCAACTGCTGCGCATCGCCCTCGATCAGCTGCAGGTTGGGGCTGGGAAAACAAGGGAACTGAACGTGAGATGCAAACATTAAGTAGTTTGACGGAAGATGGTTCCTCCTCCAAACCCAACTGCTCCTATCAGCAACGGGATCTCTCGGTTTATGCCCCCTCTTCCAGGAGCAAAGCGTCAAAATCTGCTTTGGAAGAGGCTACACAGACAGATTAAAGACTGTCTCGCTACCAGTCAGGGTAGGAATGAGCCACTGAGGCTTTATGATACCCTGTATCAGCCTGTAAACTTGTGCTCCAAAATTCTACTAGATGTGAGGCCACTGACTTTCCAGACTGCTGGTGCAAGCTGACCACAAAGAGGCAGCACTATCTGTAAACAGCCTGACACAAGACATCTGAGCTAAGCGTTGATGCCGAAACAGAGTCTGCGGGGTGAGACCTTCAAAGAATGGCCCAGCCTACACCAAAAAAGGTCAGTCTGTGTCAGAGTAAAGCAGTTCTCTCAGTTCCCACTGTGTCCAGTTTTGGGCCCCTCACTATAAAAGGGACATTGAGGTGCTGGGGAGGGTACAGAGGCGGCTGTCCAGCC